AGAAATAGTCTAGATAAATAATTTATAACACTCGTTGTGGTGTCAGATCATGATTTATCCTACGAGTGAAATTGCCAAGTTGTAATCACGAGTTTCAACGAGTGATTACAACTGGCAATTTCAAAAGTAGGGTGAATCATGGTCTAACACCACAACGAGTGTAATAAATTTTTTATACCATACTGATATCAGCTGTCGAAATACGTCCATATCAACAAAGTTCAAATGACCCGTCAATTGGACAAGAGGATCCATTCTAGAGTCTCACATGAAAACAACATTTTCATGCTCGTCGAAGTCAGATTGAGAATTGGGAAAAATCTGGATTGTTTTCCTTTACTTTTAGCCACGCTAATTTACAAGTTGTGCTATGCGTATGTCTCCTTCCGCGAAACAAACCCCAAACAAAACTATCATAACGCAAATATAAACAAAGTAATTAGAAAACGTACGATTCAAAAGTTGAAAGAAACTGCATTAATATGGCATGTTTTTTTTTAGAATAGAGATGACTTTGATTTTGATTTCTAACTTCGTAACCAAAACAAACCAAAGGCAAAGAGTTATTCTCTAGATCTAGATCTAGATTCTAGATCTAGAATCTAGATCTAGAGTCTAGATTCTAGATCTAGATCTAGATCTAGAGTCTAGATTCTAGATCTAGATCTAGATCTAGAGTCTAGATTCTAGATCTAGATCTAGCGCATTGCATTAAATTGGTCAAATCGGAAATCGATAGACAAAAACTATATATCTAACTACATATTTAGAATTACCACATCAGTATCCAAGTAACCTGACAACTTTTGTTGTTAAAAAAGCCTTTTTTCATCTTTGACCAATTTAATGCACTGAACAATGCGTTAGATCTAGATCTAAATCTAGATCTAGATCTAGGTCTAGATCTAGATCTAGGTCTAGATCTAGATCTAGGTCTAGATCTAGATCTAGGTCTAGATCTAGAGAATAGATCTAGATCTAGAGAATAAATCTAGATCTAGAGAATAGATCTAGATCTAGATCTAGACTCTAGAGAATAAACTAGAATCTAACTCTTTGCCTTTGGTTTGTTTTGGTTACGAAGTTAGAAATCAAAATCAAAGTCATCTCTATTCTAACAACAACATGCCATATTGATGCAGTTTCTTTCAACTTTTGACTCGTACATTTTCTGATTACTTTGCTTAGATTTGCGTTATGATAGTTTTGTTTGGGGTTTGTTTCGCGGAGGGAGACATACGGATAGCACAACTTGTAAATTAGCGTGGCTAAAAGTAAAGGAAAACAATCCAGATTTTTCCCAATTTTCAATCTGACTTCGACGGGCATGAAAATGTTGTTTTCATGTGAGACTCTAGAATGGATCCTCTTGTCCAATTGACGGGTCATTTGAACTTTGTTGATACGGACGTATTTCGACAGCTGATATCAGTATGGTATAAAAAATTTATTACACTCGTTGTGGTGTTAGACCATGATTTATCCTACTTGTGAAATTGCCAGTTGTAATCACTCGTTGAAACTCGTGATTACAACTTGGCAATTTCACTTGTAGGATAAATCATGATCTTACACCACATCTCATGTAATAAATTATTCTTATACCATACTTGGAGCTGTTTTAGCATTGCACTTCCGGTAAAATATATCCTTATATTTCACGTGTGAAATATAGGCTGGCTAAGCTGAAATCTCACACGTGAAATATACAAATTTGCATAAATTACTCCGCGCACTAGATCTATATTCTATATTCGCCTTCTGCTTCTATCCCTCTGTGTAGGCTAAGCAAAGTAGCCTAGATCTACATCTAGATCTAGTAAAAACTTGAAAACTTCGCTGCAAAGCGCACTCACCATGGGCAACCAAACACTTCTCCCAGTCTTGCTGTCCCTTAGAGTATAGTCGAGTATAGGTTCTTTCTACGTTGCTCTTAATTTTGTTTCAAATAGAGTCAAATGATGGGCACATGAACCGGGATTACGCCAGAGTATGGTGCTGTTATGTTCGGTTCATTTCTCGAAAAAAATAATCAAAGGGTGGACAGTAGATCTAAATACATTTTAATTAGATCTATCAAACAAAATGATAGATCTACAGCACAACTAAATAAATAGCACCACTTTGGCACTTAGAATCTAGATCTAAATCTAGACCCTAGGTCACCCTAGGTCTAGAGGCCGATATCAGCTTGAATAAATGAAATGATCATGAAAAATTTACAGAGGTTTGACAATTTTGTAGTCACTTTATCAAACAGTAAAAAAGCCACTGTCTAGGTCACTTGCGTTGCTTTTTGAATTTTCGTTTACATTAACTCTATCACTACATATACTAAATGGTCAACTATATAAATGAAAGAAGATGAAACTTTAAAACAATATGTAATTGATAAATTTGATATTAGTCAATATACGAGTATAACACTCTTGGACAATTACTTTTTTTTGGAAATAATAAAAGTTACCTCCCTTGTTATTCTGATATTCTTACCCCCCCC